ACCCCCTGACCCTGGCAGGATCTCAGAGTGCAGAAGAGGAGCTACAGTGAGCGCCTCTGTGCCCCGTGCGGCGCTCTGCAGACTCGTGGTCCGTTGCTCTTGGCTCCATCTGGCCCTCCATGAATATTCATTGATGGCAGAAGGGCTCAGGGCCCCTGGCGCGGTCACCACCCTTCAGCCTCAGCCCGTGGCGAAGCCTGCTCGGAAGCGGAGGGCGCCCTGAGAACCCCGTGGCGCCGCTGCCCTGAGCTTTGTGGAGGACGGAGATGGCCGTGGCCAGCTCTGCTTTCCCATAAGCAGACAGGAGCCGTCCCTCCCAGGGGCCCAGGCCTGGAGGTGGCCCCTGTGCCCTTCCCTCAGGTCATCCTTGCCAGCAGGGGGCAGTGACAAGCCCACACTCCCAGTGTCTCCGCGAGGACACCGGGCAGTGGGACGCAGGGCAGGGGCCTCCCCAGCGAAGCACCAGGTGGCCAGCACCTCTCAGAGGGGCCGGCCGCTGTGTCAGTTTCCGTTTCCCAGTTTGTGGCTGACGTTGCCTGGTTCTGTTCTTGGCAGACGGAGTTGGAGGCCAAAAGTGAGACCAAGCAGGAAAACTACTGGCTCATCCAGTATCAGCGGCTCTTGAACCAGAAGCCATTGTCCTTGAGGCTGCAGGTGAAGACCTGGTGCCCGTCTCTCCAGATCACCCACTTCCTCTTCCTGGCCACCTGAGTGCCAGACACACAGAGACAGAAAGGAGAGTGAGGGATGAGTGTGGCATGTGTACTCTGTCTCTCTCTCCTTCCCCACACACTGGTGCACACACTCTTAAAATTTATCATAAAAATTGAGGCCGGGCATGGTGGCACACACCTGTCATCCCAGCACCTGGGAGGCTGAGGCAGGAGGATCGCCATGAGTTCAAGACCAACCTGGACTGCATAGGGATACTATTGAGTCATTCTCTCCATGCCGGCCAGGTCTCCAGGCTGTCTACCCAGCTGTCTGTCATCATCTCAATACCTGCAGCGTGCCTGGTGTGTGGGAGAGCCCTGCTTTGTTTAAAAGTTCTCTTTCAGGCTGGGGATTTAGCTCAGTGGCACCACACCTGCCTCACAAGTGCCAGGTACTGAGTTCAATCCCCGGTACTGTAAAAAAAAGTTCTCTCTCGGTGGATAAAGTCGCCCAGTATTTTCATGTCTGCAGATAGAAAAGCAGTGACCACCCATATGCACGTGCTTCTTTTCATTTATGCACCAATCTTTGTGAGGAAAAATCAGAAGAATACATTCCGTCCTTACGCCCTCTGTCCCCTCTTAGAAACCATCAGTGGGGTCTCCCTCTACTCTGCTTTCCCCTGACCTTTCTCACTGGCCCTTCTTAGGAAGAGGGCATGGAGCGCCAGCTGGTGGCCCTCCTGGCGGAGCTCCCAGCCAAGCACTACTTGCCTGTCTTCGCGCACCACTGCATCTCCCTGGACATGCTGAGCCGGATGAGCCCCAGGGACCTGGCCGAGGTAGGACGTGGGAGCCCTGGTGCGGGGGAGCTGGCCCTGCCTTGGGTCGGTTTGCTTTGCTTGGGCCTGTAGTGAGGTGTGGAGTGACCCAGCGGCCACAACGCCTCCCTGTCTGCCCCAGCCACCTGTGTGCTGCCTCAGGACCCCAGGAGTGTGGCTCCTGCCAAACACACACAGCCTCATTTGCTCAGATTGGGTCTTCAAACTTGAAAGATCAGCTGGGCATGTGATCCCAGCACTCAAGTCTGAGACAAGAGGGTCTCTGAAAGTGTGAATCCAGCCTGGGGTACATAGTGAGACCCTGTCTCCAAAAAAAAAAAAAAAAAAAAAATCCCGGTGTGGTAGCCCACACCTGTAATCCGAGCCCTTGGGAGGCTGAGGCAGGAGGATCGCTGTGAGTTCGAGACCAGCCTGCGCTACATAGTGAGTTCCAGGTCAGTCTCAGCTACATAGTGAGACCCTGTTTCAAAAAAAAAAAAAAAAAAAATCCCGGTGTGGTAGCCCACACCTGTAATCCGAGCCCTTGGGAGGCTGAGGCAGGAGGATCGCTGTGAGTTCGAGACCAGCCTGCGCTACATAGTGAGTTCCAGGTCAGTCTCAGCTACATAGTGAGACCCTGTTTCAAAAAAAAAAAAAAAAAAACCTATAGGATCAGTACAAATCCTGGGGATTACCTGGCCCTGTCCCACCCTGCCCAACAGTTTGACTGTCATAACCACAGTGCTGATTTACATCCTGTTCGTGTTCTGGGTGCGAGTGAATTCTCACTGACCCTTCAACACAGGGTGGTGACGATGGCGTGCTGTGCCTGTCTCCCTGCTGAGCCCTTTCCCTGACCCATTGAATGGTCCCAGCAGCTCCTGGATGGAGGACCCCCCACTCCCATGGGGCTTTCTGTCCTGGGAGAACCAAGGCCCTTCTGTGGGCCTAGGAATTCATGATCTCAGCAGCTGGGCCTCGGTGCCCTCTGTCCTTCCTCACCCCACCATGCAAACTGTGACGGTGGGGTCCAGGGTGACGTTAGGCTGCGTGGGAGACGCTTGCAGTTTCTGACACTTGATAACCGAGGCTGTGTAGTGCTGGTCTCCTTTGGGCCTTGGCTTCTCCCCCTGCACCCAGGCCTGTCTTGTGCTGAGCCCCAGAGCTGCTTTGGCTGGTGCCAGGGCCCACCCGCAGGTGCTAGAGGCCTGCACAGCCCCGGCCACAGTCTGCTGTCCTCTGACCACCGCAGCTGGGCGTCTCGGAGACTGGCCTGCAGCGTGAGATCCTCAGGAGAGCCCGGGAACTGCACGATGCGGCCAGTGCCCAGCCAGGTACCGACCCCAGGGCTGCCCCTCAGTGAGGCCCCAGCGAGTGAGGATGCTGGTCAGGCCCAGGGGGCGCTGCTGGACAGAGCAACCAGCATCTCAGGGCTCCCCGGTTCCTGCATCTCCCGAGGGGCAGCTGCCCTTCCTGTCTCTGCCTCCCCAGCCGGATGCAGAAGCTGTGCCCCTAGCCAAGGGCTCCTGTCCTGCGGCTGCACTACTCAGTGTCCGTGTGGCCCCTGGAGAGGGATGCCCGGCTCAGCACCAGATTTCTCAACCCAAGAGGGGTGGATTAGGGAGAAGAGGCCCCTGTCAGCAAGGACGGTGACCCCTCCTGTCCTGACATGACAGGGCAAGATGTCACTCCCGTCTCAGAGAGGGTGGGGATGGTGGGGGCAAGGAGAAGGAGGCTGGAGAAGGGAACGAGGCCGAGTCGGACTCCAGAGAGGACCAGTCCTAGTCCCGCTCCCTCACCGGAGCAGGCAGCACCAGGGCCGCCCCGGGGGCTGGGGAAGTCCAGCACGCACCCTTGGCTCAGCTGCCCCTCTGACCCCACAGAGCTGAAACCAGCCAAGGGGGAGACCCCCGGGGCCCTGGAGCCGCCCGCAGCACCGTCCGCGCCCCCTGAGGAGCCCGAGGTGCAGGTCTCGGAGTGCGTCATCTGCCTGGAGCGGGAGGTGAGCGGGGCCTTTTGGGGTGGGTGCGCGGGTGTTTTCCGGCCAGTTTTCTCCAGTTACATAAAAATAATTCACCACCAGAATAAAAACACACTGGAAGCCGAGGTGACCCGTGGTCCCACGACCCAAATGTGATCAATGAGTGACACGAACATCAATTCTGCACTTTTTATAAGGATTTTTTTTTTCTCCACCAGTTTAATGAATACATTGGTGACATTTCTCATTTCATGAAATACCAACAACATGATTTTCCTTTATCAAGACTCTGTTTTGGGCTGGGGATTTAGCTCAGTGGTTCTGCTATCTGCCTTGCAAGCACAAGGACACAAGTTTGATCCCCAGTACCAAAAAAAAAGACTGTTTTAAGCAGGATGTGGTGGTGCACGACTATAATCCCAGCACCTGGGGAAGCTGAGGCAGGAGGATTGCTGTGACTTTGAGGCCAGCCTGGGGTACACAGCAAGACCTTGTCTCAAAACACCAAATAAATAAGTAAATAAATCATTAAAGATTGTTGCAGTTTTAACACTGCAAAATGAAAACATAGCAGTATATAAATTACAAGTCCTTCCTTGCCTCCACTGTGGAATGAATACACATAGAAAAGCAGCGTGGTAGCAGTTTGATTGTTCTCTGGATGTGGCACGGGGGCTGTGACATGCTGGGGACCGATTGGTTGTACATTTAACCAGGCCCTGCTGTAGGTGACACCCATTTCTAGTCTCACAGGACAGCTCTGAGCAGTTGGGAGCACACCCTGGCTACCTTTAGATCCAGGAGCTTAGAGGCACATCAGACCTGGAGCTCAGGGTTTGGGCAAGTGCATGCACAACACAGGTTATAAAGAGGGCGGGGCTATTGCTCTTGCTTGCCTAAGGTGCCCAAGGCCCTGGGTTCCACCCCCAGCGCTAAACAAAAGCCAGTGGAACGCCTCGGTGCACAGTGGAGGGTGTTTGAACACCAGAGGGGCCCACAGCTGCCACACAAGATGTGGAGTGACTGGGTTAGGGGTGAGGCAGTCAGTGGCCATAGAAATGAATCCTAGCTTCAAGGAAGAAAGGGCGCCGTGGTGTACACCTGTAATCCCTGCATTCTGGGAGGCAGAGGCAGGAGGATTACAAGTTCAAGCCCAGCCTGGGCAGTTTAGCAAGTGAGCATGACCCTGCTTTAAAATTGTTTTTTAAAAGGGGCTGGCAGTGTGGCTCAGTACGAAAGCCCTGGGGTGGTGGGAGGAAAGAAGGGAGCGGAAAGGAGGGGGAGGTGGAAAAAGAAAGGTGGGGTTGTATTTGTGTGTTATTTCCAAAGCACGGGGAAGTCGGCACAAAATTGAAAACAAGCACTCCTAGGTCCCCCATCCTGTGGCATATATTCTTTCAATGTTTGGCTTATGGCGATGCTCCACAGTTTTCTTTGTTTGATTATTAATTACTTTTATTGATACCTTTAAGGTATCCACCAAGTTTTTAAGACAGACAGTGCAGGGCCTGGGCCTCAGCTTCCCCTCTGGGAGAGCCCGGGCGGTGACCCACACACTGCTGTGTCCCCTCCCCGCAGGCCCAGACCATCTTCCTCCCCTGTGGCCACGTCTGCTGCTGCCAGCAGTGCTGCCAGCCCCTGCGCACCTGCCCCCTGTGCCGCCAGGACATCGCGCAGAGCCTCAGGATCTACCACAGCCCTTGAACGCAGCGCCCACTGCTTCCCCGGGCAGCTCACCGGGCATCTCCCCGCCATGCGCATCTGGGCCAGGAGGGGGCGCTCCTGGACCCTGCACTGCCGCTCTGAGCGCGGGGC